TCACTATTGTATCAGTCACTGATGCTAACCCTGGACTTCTGTCCATAAGAATCTGTCACTATTGGCTCAGTCATTGATGCTAACCCTGGACTTCTCTTAACAAGAATGTAGCACTATTGGCTCAGTCACTGATGCTAACCCTGGACTTCTGTTCATAAGAATCTATCACTATTGGCTTAGCCATTGATGCTCACCCTGGACTTCTGTTCATAAGAATGTGTCACTATTGGCTCAGTCATTGTTACAAGCGTTATTACACTCATGTAAGATTGGCTCACAAAACAAAACTGAGGAAGGTGGGTATATGGAAATTTTTGATACCACTTCCTCCATTTTTAGGTTACTTCCAAACAGTTTGAAGTGATGTCCATCACTTTACAAACCTGGCAATACTGTCTCAGAAAAAGATCCTTTTTAGTTAATATTTTAACAATCAGCAAAATGTCTACAATTTGCACTGAGATGTTATTTACTATTAAAAGTAAACCCAAACCTGGAATGGAAATACACCTTTACTCCTGTAGTTGTAGCACTAATGATTGACTTAACACATTTAAATACGCACACGTGGAATAAAGAATATAGTATCACGATTTTACAATTGTCTGAAATATGAGACACTGAAGAATCTAGAAATCATATCATGAATGAACTGAACAACTGAATTTCCACGATACCTTCCGCTGATGCAACTCTAGGGTGTACACGGCTGCGATGCCAGTGATGGAGGATTCGCTCCTTATGCCTGTGGTGGTGTCTGACGGGGGATTTCCTGGGCACCTCAGGATCCACGACTTCATCCTGGATGGAACACGCTGGAAAATGAATTAAAATAAAGACAGCGGTTGATATCTTGCTGCAGAAGATCAGAGAAATGAGTCATTATTTATTCACAGCTTACATGTTTGATCCCATTGTTCGTCATCCGCAGGGCAAAGCCCCCTGAATCTGAGTTTGGCTTCAGAAAGGACTTACACTGTGGGTTGCACTTACAACTGTGCAGGCAAATGCCTGTATTGAGATGAGACATTACAGAAAGGTAGTAGATTGGAGTGACCAAGAGCGTAGGGTCTGGTGCATAGGATCTGAGCTCGAGGACTTTTGAGAAGCTGCTAGAACCTGAGGAAGTTCTATAGACCCCTCTGGGCCTCCGATCCCTAGTTTGAATGTGGAAATGTTGATAATGGCCTACGTTATGTTAAAAGAGTAAAAATAGTTAAACAGACCACTTAAAGCCTTAAGACGGGTGCTTCCTAAGTGCCATAAAGTGTTCAATTGTTTCGTGTCTGGAAGAAGAACCCAGGCCCTTGGTAGTGGTTAATAGAGAAGGAATTGGGGACTCCAGGGCAGTGGAGGGTAAAATTCTCTTCATTCTTGACATGGGTCCCACGCTTTAGAACTCATGAAAATTTCTGTCCGAATTTCCCGTGGTGCCCACATCAGTCCAGAGAGATGAGCAGAGCAGGGGCTGCCACTCAGAGTTGATGGTTCAGAGACGTGAAATGAAGAGATTTGAGCGGCCTGCCCAGATTCACAGCACTGACCAATGATAGATCTGGGACAAGAATTTGGTTGATTTTCCGGGGACAGAGATCCCTGAATACCTGAGGCCTCTAAATCATGGCCTGGACCCTGAACCTGGAGCTCATTCCACTCCCTTTCTCAATCCTCCTGCACCAAGGGCTCTTCAGGAAGGTCGAGGTATTGGAAGAGGTGCTGAGTCCAGAAAAAAGCTCAAATCATTAAACAAAACGTAACTCCTGTCTCTAGGTTTTAACTCCTGGGCTAAAATATGGCACTTTACTGCAAACGAAGCCTCTCTGAGGAACAAATGCAAATGTCTGGTCATCCTACCCAGCGCCCGTACTGTCAGCTCTCTGGCAGTGAGCAGCCCTCCATGACCAACTGACCACACCAAGGGACCAAGTTCTGCTTGGCCCCCAGGGTAGTTCGGAACTTAGGACATTCCAGACTAACTACCACTCGATGGCTTTGCCAAGAATAAACTTCCCTTCAACTGAACCATCCTGAACAAGCAATTAATGGGAATGAACTGAAAATGTGGCACTCCAGTTGGGTTTTCAGTGGTTTCTTCTGTATCTAGTCTATGAAATAGTGTTTAAAAAAAAAAAAGGCCAGGCGCAGTGGCTCACACCTGTAATCCCAGCACTTTGGGAAGCCAAGGTGGGCAGATCACAAGGTCAGGAGTTCAAGACCAGCCTGGTCAATATGGCGAAACCCCGTCTCTACTAAAAATACAAAAATTAGCCAGGCATGGTGGCAGGCGCCCGTAGTCCCACCTACTTGGGAGGCTGAGGCAGGAGAATCGCTTGAACCTGGGATGCAGAGGTTGCAGAGAGCTGAGATCATGCTATTGCACTCCAGCCTGGGTGACAGAACAAGACTCTGCCGGGGGGGAAAAAGGAGGGGGGGCAGGTGCTGTGGCTCATGCCTGTAATCCCATCACTTTGGAAGGCCAAGGCAGGTGGATCAGGAGGTCAGAAGTTCAAGACCTAACTTGCCAACATGGTGAAACTCTGTCTGTACTAAAAATACAAAAATTAGCCAGGCGTGGTGGCGGATGCCTGTAATCCCAGCTACTCTGGAGACTGAAGCAGGAGAATTGCTTAAACCCGGGAGGTGGAGGTTGCTGTGAGCTGAGATCATGCCACTGCACTCCAGCCTAGGCAACAGAGCAAGACTCTGTCAAAAAAAAAAAAAAAAAATGGCATTGGAAACAGTGTATTTTTCTAGAGGAAAATA